CAGACATTTTCAAGAGAAACCTATAAAACATTTAGTAAATATGTTCTTGCCAAACACCAGTGGTGAACTGCTTAATGTATCTTGCCTATATTACCCAGCCAAGAAGCATATGGACTGTGCACGATTACATCTTTCTAGTTAAAGACTTGAAATAATTCCATCACAATTAGACAAATATCATCTCAAAGTGAATCAACTTGTGGATGGAGGGAAGAATAGGAATGAAACCCAATTTTTTTTTTGCCAACTCACATGCTACAAGCATACTCCTAATTTTAGAAAACCAAGAGGTATAGTTATTTAGAAGATAAATTTTACATATCATGTTATTTATCAATTACAATACAAAATACCAATGTACCAATGTATTAATCTCCTATATTGACTAACCCGTCTTCCAAAGAACAGCATCAGTTGGCAATGAACAAGATTGCATTATATCTGAGGCTAGAGCTGCATCCAGGCAGCGATTGAAATTTTTTGTGGAGTGCAGGTAAGAAGCAGCAGCTGGCAGGTCCAAAGAGATAGTTAGAGAAGGGCAGGAAATTGATAGATATAAGCACCAGGAAATGCCAGACCAACATTTTTTCAGTGTTCTGATCTGGGATGGTAGATGTGGTTCCCATTTGTCCATTATCTGATGATGATGATGATGATGATCCATCAAGTAGTTTTGAACCCCTAGCAACCACATAGATTTTTCTCCATGCCTTCTATTTTATACTATAGTATTCCCTATGTTGCTGTCTTGAGCTGCAACACATCACAGTTTCAGTATGATTTTACAAGTCATGAAAGCATCCGGTTTTAAGTGGTAGGAGAGAGCATCTTTCATCACCTGGGACACCCCCCCTCCAAGGCCACAATTGTCTGAATTCTTTAGCCCAAACTAGTCAAGAATCACTTCCATAGGTAAAGGTTTTCTATTTCATTCCTCTTCTATTTCATGCCAGATTAAATGGCTTTCTACCCTTTGCTTCAAAGCCTCCTGCGACCTCTCTATCACTTCTGTTTCACAGGGACTGTTCTTTGGAAGCAATCTTGGAATTGAGCTCAACACAGCAACATAGGAAATACTAATTTAATGTAATTTAAGTGGAATTGCAGTTCAGCTGCACTTTGCAATAGAAAGTTTCAAGAAAAACATACAGTACACTCTTAATGCAATTTCATTAGAATTAAAATTTGCCAGGTTAGACTGATTATTGCTCCTATTCCCTTTTCACATATAGTTAGTCCTCATTTAGTGACTACAATTGGGAATGGCAACTTGGTTGTTAAGCAAGGTAGTCACTCATAACTGTGCTTATGATCTTACTTCAACTTTCCTTTGTGTTACTCACCCAAGAAGATTGCAAATTCAAGGATTGGTCACAAAAATACTTTTTTTCGTCACTGTTGTAACTGCAAACAGTTTGCCAAACAAAGCAGTTGTTAAGCAAGGACTACATATATAATTTTCCTCATGGGAGCTTAAAAGTACTACTGCACTTGTGTGAACAAGGACAGGGCCCAGAAATGGGAGACTGTGGAATGAGCAATTGCCTCAATTCTGACAAGGTTTTCATGGTAGCTGTTTTAACTCCTTTTTTACTTTCTGAACTGCAAAACAATTTCTCAGTATCACAACTTTCTTCAGTGCTGGGCTGCTCACTTTGAACTGAGTCCCACTTTAAAAATGAATTTAGAGGTTGAATCTATCATCAGACTATTAACAGAGAACTGAAAAAGTGTAGCTTTTATTTTTTTTCCAAAGAATCCTATTGGCTGGACATTGGGTATTTATTGTTTAAAATAATAACATGTTGTCAGAAATGAAGGAATGCTTCTGAGACATCAATAAAGGCCAAATTCTAACAGGGAAGTTAATTTATAAAGGTCCTAATTCTAAACCTACTAAAACACTACAAAATAGCTTCATCCAAATATTTTTGATAATTATAATTCCATTTCAGTTATAACATCCTACTGTTCGCTGAAGACCATAAAACTACAAATAGCCTTATGTTATTTGGGTAAAAGAAATGGTTCAAAATGCAAACAAGGAAATGCATGATACAGCTTTGAGGTCTGAGCAACAAATTTGGCAACTATATTTTAATGATTCAGTTTTCCTCAGCATTATGGCTGCCCTACAGAAGGGGAAAACAAATGTAAAACTATACTTAGGCTTTACAAAAACAATTGAAGCAATCTATCTATCTTCTTTTTCTTCAAACATCTTTTATATATCAACATACTGTATATAAAGCCTCTCCTCATCAGATATTGCTCTTGACAATGTTTTCCATAAGATTGATGTAGGGAAAATGCCAAACTGTGAGTTGGGCTTTGCTCTCATTATTTCGCTTTAAACCTGGTTGAACAATTGTATCCATCTATCTCAATAGCTCCACATCAAGCTGAAAGGAAGTGGTGATTGAGGTATTTCAGACTCCATTAGAGATCCTGTGCTTTTTAATCTGCGGATAAGGATTAGAAAATATGATTATCAAATTTCAGATGACACCCAGAAAGGCTGGATTAAAAACACCTTACTGATGGTATCTAGATCAGTATGATCTTTACAAGTTGAAACAATAGGAACAGGAAGATGGATTTCAGCAGAGACAAATGCAAAGCCATACATTTGGATAGGAAAAACCAAAGGTATGAGTGCAAGATAAAAGAAATCATACTGGGAGACAGTGACATGAAAAGGATGTAGGTGTCTTTGTGGATCACATGAGTCCCCAAACGCCCAAAGACAATCCTGGTCTGTATCAATAGAAATATAGCGTCAAGATCAAGAGATCTATGTTAGTCAGCTCACACCAATAATATTATGCCCAGTTTGGGCTACTAAACTTTAGGAATTCACCAACAAACTAGAGCATGTCCAAAGGAAAGCAACTTAAATGGTAAGAGCCAAGAAAGAAAAAATTATAAGAAAAATTTATTAATGTTGTTGGTGATGGATATTTTTAATCCACCTGGAAGCTGCAGGATACATGATAGCTTTTTCAAGTAGCTGAAGGGTTGTCGTGCAGAAGATAAGGTAGACCTGTTCTCAGTTATTCCAGAAGAAATGGTTGATTTAAATTACAAAAAGATAGTTTTCAGTTGGACATCAGGAAAATTTTCAACAGTAAATTCAACAGAAAATCAACAGTGTTGGGAGATAACTTCCTTCAATAAAAGTCTTTAAATAGAGGCTGGATGGTCATTGGTCAGTGACACTGTAGTAGACACCTGCATTGGGCAAGACATTGGGCTAGGTGTTTTCTAAGGTCCCTTCCAAACATTATATTCTGTGAGTCCATTATTTTTTAGTGAATTCTCAAAGCTTGCTATCAGCAAGGATTCATATACAAATATAGGGCATTTTATACAGTTTGAACATGTTGCCTTCAATTCTGCAAAGCGATTGATTTAACATGATTCTGCTTAATAATATCTGTCGGACAAATCAAAACTGTTGGCTCTGATTTATAATTCTATAATTTGCATTCAGAAGTTGGAGAAAAATGCTATCTCTTTTAAAAAAGAATTATGTAATGGAAGAGCTATAAATCTTATAAATTAATGTTCCAGAGACAATTGGGCATCCTTTGAATACATTAGGAGTCAAGAAAGTATCACCAAGAGGTCCTTGAATAGGAAGGAAGCCTTCTGAATTATTCACTAGTTACCCCAGGCTTTGGATTTTCAGGAACCTATGCAGCAAATTAAGTCCTGATCGGCAGATATGATGTTATCTGCCTTAGTTTCTAATGTTCGTCTTGCACATGTTGAAAGCAGGAGATGCTTTCATTATGTTATCGTTAACAACCAAGATCCCCCATATTTGTAATATTGGAATTTGCAACATGAGCACCAGTTTGCCTCCAAGCATTTGCCCAGCTGAGTTATTTTTGCTGAGATTATTTTTATCCACTTAAGGACTTAAGGCACCAAATTCTAGCCCTATTTTTATGTGCAAGATAGCCTGGGAGCCCCCTAAGGAATTTTTTAAAAATAAAATCAATGGGTGGTAGCATTTCAGTGTTTTGTTTAGAAATGTGCCAGCTGTACAAGAAAAAGAGATAAACCAGGGATGGTACAGAGATTCCTGTTTGCCTCAATGAAAGGAAGATAATGAGAAATAAGCTCCTAAATTTGTTTTTGGGGTTTGGTGTTGGTTTTTTGTTTTGTTTTGTTTTGTTTTGTTTTTTTGGTAAATGGATGTTTTACAACTAGCAACAATGAAAAATGGCAGCCATTTTAAGAAAGTGGGCCTCCTCTGCCCCCATTAATTATATGCCCAGCGGCTTCTAAAATTGATATACTCGATACGTTTCATTAGAGGCAAAGTTATCTGCACAGTTAATATGCATGGCCATCAACCACCATATACACTCTGGAGGGAACTATGAATCTTTCCTAGTCAAGGTCCTTGTTTCCCCATCTTTGGAATATGCACTTAAAACTTTGCTTGGGCAATGTGCATATTCATTAGCCAATGTATATGTACATAAACTCCCAGAAACACACCCTTGACTTCGTAATGACAAAGTAAAGGGCTCGCTGTAGTTCTTTTGCCTTGTCTAAAGCATGCATTGTTATCATCTCTTTTTTGCTGCTACTCAGCTGCATTAATATAATTGAGCTTGCAGGTGGAAATCAATCACAAACAGAAGAAAGTGTAATTTTTTCTTATCCTCTCATGGAAACATAAAAGGCCTATTGGCAGTGAACATTATTGCCCAGCAAAATGTTCAAAACACAGTAAAAAAATCACATGCTCTAAAGCCTGCAGGTAACCAATCCAGGAAAACATACCAAAGCTTAGCACGTATGAACATCTTTAAAACTGTTTTGGAAAATATAGGAAATGATAAGGAGATATGTACATTTCTCTCTTTAGTCCAAGATTATATGCACATCCTAAATGGCGTAATGTTGAGTCAATTTGTTCTTCGGTTGACGTAACTCCTAAATTGAATCTGTAGATAAATTCATTCACTACTCAAACACATAACCATATTCATAAAATTTGTATTAAATGATTTATGCAAAGTGATATGTTTACATTGTATACAGGTCATCCTCAACATATAACCACAACTGGAGGCAGAACGTTCGTTGCTAAGCGATGCAGACGTAAAAGAAGTCATACCTGGTTTTAGGACCTTTTTCCTGAGGTCCTTAAGCAAATCACATAACTGTTAAGTGAATCCATCTTCCCCCATTGACTTTGCTCGTTAGAAGTCCTCTGTGAAGATTGCACATGGTGATCATGTAATCTCGGGATGCTGCATTAATACATACTGGTTGTCATTATGGAGATGGCTGTGACAACTGCAAGTGTGAATTTTTTTCAATACCCTCATACTTTTGAATATGAGGGGTCCTTGGTGCTCTCTGAGCTTGGTTGTTTTCTTGCAGATATTCCATGATCCAAACTAGGTAACATCATCAGTACAAATATTCTCCTTTATTGATAACTTTGAACAGTTGTTAAATGAATGATTCTAAGTCAAGGACCTGACTGCTATATTGTTTCATGTGATAGTGAAGGTTTAATTCTAAATGAATGTTATATATGAGTGGGCAGTAGCCTTTTACTGTTTTTTAACAATTTTTATTGTCTTGAAAACTGGCCAGAGTTGTGGTTACAGTATGGGTGGTTATATAAAGTCTTTGAAATAAAAATAATAATAAATAAACTCAATCTTAAACATTGGTCATTCCCCCCCCACCCCTCAATCTTTACTCTTTCAGAATTGTGCAACATGAACATTGTAGTGTTGTTAAGACATCAGAAAAAAATAACTTAATGCATATAATAGTTTTAGACAAACTTTTAACAATTGGCTTTTTGTTATATTGAGAAAAGTCAGCACATTTGCTAATCAAATTAATTAAAAGGTAGCTTTTCAAAATAAAAGCAATTGCTTTAAATAAATACAGTCTCTTATATTCACAGAACTCTTGCTTCTAACTCAGAAAATGCAAATATATATATTGAAGCCTTGAGAAATCTGAAATACACAACCATCGCTAAAGTATTAGAGCCAGGCACTGTGAAGAATGGTAACATGGAGGCCTTTTCACTTGTCTTCCAGCTTTACCGGCAAAGAAAACAACAGCAGAACCCAGCTTTCTTCTTCTCAACGTTTAAATATTTTTTATGGAACATGCTGAGAATTTATAATAGCCATTTAGTTTTTTAAGCTCTTATTTTCTTTGTTGCTTCACATTTCCAACCTGTGGTAAAACACATAATGAATCTGATGTGACGCAAATAAGATTTAGGCAAACAGGAAGGAACAATGGGGATCACCATGTGCCTGACTCACTAGAAGCATTGCTAGCAATTCACTCCTCTATGCTGCATCACCCATGTGACTTATTTTTAGCTTTGTGACATAAATGTTAAATATTGTATAACTACATCAATGCACATGGAGCTCTGCTTAGAATCTTAGTAAATATAATCATGTGGCATTTATTTAGTAGTCAAATGGCAGCTTCAATTCACCTACTCAGTTTAAATCTGCTCATCCCATGTTAATCAGTTCAGTTTGGTTGCATTAATTTCTGCTGGAGTTGATAAAAGAAGACTATCACGTGCCTATCTTAGCACTGTCTCTCATGATATATACTACAAAGATGTGAAAGTATTCTCACAATAATACGACCAAGGAAAGATGGCAAATGTTGAAAAAACTACATACACCTAAGCACGAAGGTTCAACAATGGCATGATGGTGCTTAGAAAAGGTACAAAGGTCTTGTAATTCACACTTCATGTCTCACAATGAACCAAGAGGCTGCCATCCCATATGCTCTACCTGGCATGGAAAGCTGGAGGAGGACCTTTTGCAAATTAAGAGCATGCTTTGGCATCAATCATGAGATGGACCTTTGCTCATGTGACCTGTGCAGATTTATCTATATGAATGAAAAATCAAAATTAAGATATCTTTTACAAACATGAATTGTTTATATTACCTTTGTTCAGCTAATGGCAGTGAGAAATATTTCAGCATTGCTAAATTATCTTTGTATTCTATGTTCCATTCTATAAACTTGAAATTCATAACCAAAGCCTGGAATCATTTTGTCCAGAGCTGTAGCATATTTTGTAGAGCTCAGACTGAACCACAGCCACCTTTCTGAAATAAAAAGGGACCAATTTCTTCCATTAATAGGTATCCGATTAATGCATTTTAAACCGTGATTAGCAAAAGTCCATGGAATGCACATCAGAAATCCTACTGACTTCCATTAAAAAAGGGGAAAGTGTTTAATAATTTATTAACTTAATTTAATGAAAAAGTTAATAATTTATTCTTCTATGTTGAGGAAACCATTATTAATTCATACTAATAAAAAATTGAGCTCTTTTTCTGTCTTCTGTTTGTTCTGCTGGTAAAACCTATATTACAGATTTGAAAAAAGCACACTGTCAAAAGCTGGTAGAGCAAAGTATAAAAGGGCAATAATGTAATTCATGGGAAAATGTTAAAGGATCTCCCTAAACAAGTAGACCCACACGAAGCTGGAAATTATTAGAATGTCACTACCAGACAGTTTAAATTTAGGCAAATGACAGCAGTAAAACACTGGCACTATGAGAATTTTAATACTTCTGATGCCCTGTAGAGGATGCTAGTGGGATTGTTCTTTCTCTCATTTTTTTTTTAACGTGTTAAAAAAAATAATTTTGGACTATTGAAATATATGACACCGTTGGCATTGTTCAGAGCCTGGCATTCTCGCTGCTTGTCTCTTTTTTTTCGATTGGCTCAGGACCTCGCTTAGCCTTGGCATCCGAGTTCCCACTTCTACTTTTGCTCAGTCCACATGATAAACAAGCCAGCTGGATCTGCTTCATATTTTCTATGGCTTCATTTTTGGCGTTCCTCAGTAGATCCCCTTGTCCCTAAGAATACACAAGAAATACAGGGAATCAAAATAAAATACAAAGCCGTGAACAATGAAGGTTTCGTATCTGGTTTTCCTTCCCTTGCAGTCACAAGTGTTTTGGACAGAGAACAAAGTGGCTCTGTGTGCATCTGATCTGAGGCCTGCTTTGAGAGGCAGCTGCTTCATGATAGCAATTTCTTTTGAGCTGAGATCAGGGTCTTCCTAGGCCAGGATGAAGTGGGCTGGCAATCCAATCTCTGATTTAGCATATCAATCTTTTTCTATTTATTTTGGCTCTAAACTGTTGAATTTCTGAAATTAATTTTGGGAGACTGGCACATATATACAGTAGTTTGTTCAGATAGCATATTCTGATGGATAGGTATCAGGGCCTAAGCTTCCTTAGTAAATTATAGTACAGAAAGGAATCATGATGCAATCGTGCTATCACATGGGGAGTATGGCAATATCCCTTTTTATTGTGAGGATACCAAGAGGTACAACGTTCATAGAAAAACCTAAGTAGAACAGGGTTTCCATCATGTAGAGGTCCTTTGTGCATACCAATACACATGAAAATCCTTGTCCATGTAAGGCCTTGGGAAGGAGCAGAGATGTGGCATGCGCTTGGTATGCATGTGCAGCCAACTGAGGCAACTCCACAAACTCTTTAGGTAAGTTTAGACAGCTTGAGGGAAACCAGATACACCCTTTCACCCATATTCCTTTCTGTGCTATGATTTATTCAGAAGACATATTCACTGGAGTACCAAGTAGCTAGTTAGAAAAAATACCAAAAAGAATGGTGAATCTGTAGAGGTAGTCATCAACTTACAACTGCAACTCATTTCATTGCTAAACGAGCAAAAAATTTCCATTGCTAAATTGTCCCCATTTTACGACCTTTCTCTCCAAATTGTTAAGTGAATCACTGCAGGTGTTAAGTTAGTATCATGGTTATAAAGTGAATCTGGCTTCCCCATTGACTTTGCCTTGTTAGAAGGTCACAAAAAGTAATCACATGATCCAGTGGGACATTGCAAATGTGATAAATACATGCCAATGGCCAAGTGTCCAAATTTTGATTCCGTGACCATGGGGATGCTGCAAATGTTGTAAATGCAAAAAAAAAATGGCCGTTCCTTTTTTTCAGCGCCATTGTAATTTTAAATTGTCATTAAACGAACAGTTGTAAGTCAAAGACTACCTACAGTTCAAAATCAGGAAAACGGCAAGCAAGTTATGCATTGGTATTGGTTTGGAGGGGAAATCATATCATTTGAAATCCCATAATCCAAGGAGAAAATCATGTCAGCAGAAAGTTTGTAAGACAGAAAAATCATTTTTAGAAGAGCTCTCAATACCTTACAGGCTCAGAAGATGAAACTGAAAAGGACTTTTAATAAGTCTTACTAAAGTAATGAAGAAATATTTAACATGCAATATTCACAAATATATACGTAAAATGACCATTGAACATAAAACCTAAAACATTTCCCTCTTAAAACATTCCTCATCTTCATGTGTGAACTTATATAAATGTTTAAATACCTTAAAAAAATAAATAAATGTTGATATTTCCTCCAGTGCAAATCTCTGTTTTCTACTCTCCATTCATCCTCAGTTGCCTCCCAATGCAATTTGACATGGGAAGATAATCTGCTATGATTTAATCTACTGACACAAGCCAAGTAATTTTGCATTCACTACAGTATTGCACCCATCCTGGTAAACAACTTTAGAGAGACAATGGTAGCTGGCAAGGTACAGCACCAGTCAACAATGTCTGGAAACAAAAGCATCTGGGAACACCAATGTCAATGAGAATTGCGTCACAAGTTGATAACATCTGGGATAATTCAGCCATTCTGCTGGATGACTTAATGGCACAATGGAGCCTTTGTTCAAGCTTAGGTCTTGGTAGGATTACTACGTCAACCTTTTGCATCAGACTCCTAAAGTAGGTTGACAATGTGAATGTCAAAATTGCTTCGTAAATCCTATAGAAATAGGAGTACAGAAATTACACAAAACCTGCAAATACTTTCCAGAGGGGTAACTGGATCAATCTCTTGCATTAAAAACAAGACTATTGTGGAACACTGAAGATTAATCCATTTATTATTACATTAACGTTTGTGAATGCATTCAATAAACTAGGTTATAGTCTATGAAAGCTTATGCCAGGGTAAACATTAATCTTTAAAAAAAACCCATAAAACTAATTTATTTAGTTAGATTTTTTTTAAATCCTCAAGGAATAGATGGAACATCATATTAATAGTCATTACACATATGAACAATTGATTATAATTTTTGCAGCTTAGGTTTCTCTGCTTGTCAGAGTGACTCTCTAGCATATCACCCTTTTCCAGTGCTGCTAACCACAGAGTGTATCATGAAATTACCTGAGAAAGATATGTGAAATTAACTGACAACTATATTTGCCAATCTTTCATACTTTCCTATGTGGAACAAAGCAAAATAGCATGAATGGAATGGCATTACATATGAATTTGTTTGTCTATTTGTTTGTTTGTGGGTCAAGGACAACACTGACAAGAAGGAATGTTCTATCTTTGCTTTGAACATTATAATAATAGTAAGGCTACACTTTTTGCAACAAATCTAAAATGTAGTACAATTTTTTTACACTGGAACAAAAGGCATTTAGTTTTCTGTAATTGGTGGTACTTAGAGTGATGTTTATAGTCAGGATCTGCGTCGGAGTCTGCTGAAACATAAAACATTACATAAAGCAGGGTAATACAGATTAATTTTTAATTTAGTCTGTGCAAGGCAGATACATCTGATCTCTGTTCTAATTTTGTATTTCCATGAAACTCTATTCCTGATTTTTTTTTCAGAACTGCACTGCATTGCAAAGGGATACAGCAGATTCTTTCATACACACAGAGAGAAGAGGGAAGAGCAAGCTAGATAATGTGTAGAAAAGGTGATTATAGACAGATCTGTCCTCAAGTCCTTACATTTCAGCCATATTGGTTTCATCAATCACAGCATACTGAGGATTGAGAGAGATATTTTATTTAATGGTTCCCTCTATCACACTATTTTTCAGTCTCTACTCTTGAATAGATGTATGACTATTTTTAAAGCTAATTAACCCAGCATAGTAACCAGTAACATCAACTTTTATATACGCAGCTCAACTTCCAACAATCAACTGCATTTAAAAAAGACCAACATCAAGTTTTACAATCATCCCTTTCTTTGAATAAAACCTTCTCCATATAATGGTTTGTATTTTTGTAAGAATACTTCCAGATCTAGATTTATTGTCCCATTTTGATTTAAGAGTACTTTAAACAAAAAACCAATTTCTAAAGGATCATAATTCCCCCTACCTGCCCCATTTCTAAGAAATTAGGCATGCTTTTTCATAATATAAAGCTCTAACACAGGCATATACAATAGTATAATGAAATATTCTGGTGAAAAACAAAAGAAGGGACAACTATTTCTGGACTTTTTGTCATGCTATATTAGAGGAAAATGGAGTTCTATTTTTCTGACTCTTGTTCTAGTTCCAGACATCAAGACAAATTGGCCTACATCTTTGGAGTACTTTATAATTTACTGAGTCTCCAAATTAGATAAGATGGTGTGAGACTAGGCTAAAGCTGAAGTAGGCACATAAGCAGGATGGACAAAGACCAGGAAAGGAACCCTTAGGGCAGTGGTGGGATTCAAATAAGTGAACAACTGGTTCTTTGTGTGGATGCCGCTTCCAGAAGTCCATTCTGAGCCTGGTCAAAAAAAAATTAGCTACTGGTTCTGCCGAAGTGGTGCAAATTGGCTGAATCCCACCACTGCCTTAGGGGAAGTAGTTAAGAAGGAACCAACTCATTAAGGAAATGGAAAAAAAAAATGTCACCAAAAACAGACAAAAGAAATTGAGCCTGAGCTCAAAAATAATGCAGTTCCAAATCATTCTTGGAAAATCAGTCAGTTACTGCATTGAGCTGAGAGCACAGAATCCAGGTAAACATGTACAAACAGGCTTTGGAACAAAGAAAAAAAGCACATGTCTATCTTTTTGCCTTCTAACATGCTGCTTACTTCCTTCTGTTACTATTGTTATCACTGACTCTAGAAATAAATATCAGCTAACTAAGGTATGTAGGAAGCACATCACAATAGTAATGGGGGACTTTAACTACCCTGACATCAACTGGGAGACAAACTCCGCACCAAGTGGAAGATCAAACAGGTTCCTGGCAAACCTAGCAGACAACTTTGTCTCCCAAAAAGTAGAGAAGGGAACTAGGGGATTAGCCATTTTGGATCTAATTCTCACTAACAGAGATGAAATGATAGACAGTGTTGAAGCCATAGGAACCCTGGGAGGAAGTGATCATGCAATATTAGAATTCAACATTATAGAAGCACAAGCAATAGAACACAGTCAAACTAGAGTCTTGGACTTCAAGAGAGCTAATTTCAATAAACTTAGAGAGGGCTTGGGAAGGATTCCATGGATGAGAATCCTCAAGGGGAAAACAACTCAAGAAGCTTGGGAAATTTTGAAAAATGAGATAATAAAAGCACAGTCTAGCACAATACCAACAAAGAGGAAAAACAACAGCTCTCAAAAGAAACCAGCATGGCTGCATAAAGAACTCTCTGACAAATTGAAAGATAAAAAGGACAAGTATAGAAAGTAGAAAGAGGGGAACATAACTAAGTCAGAATATCAGCAAATAGCCCGAGCCTGCAAAGATGAAGTGAAGAAAGCCAAGGCTCAAAATGAACTAAGGCTTGCGACCAAAGTCAAAAATAACAAAAAAAGCTTCTTTCAACATGTAAAAAACAAGAAAAAAGTGAAGGAAATGATTGGTCCATTAGTGGGTGGAAGTGGCAAGAAGGTGACAAGCAACAGGGAGAAAGCAGAACTATTTAACTCATTTTTTGCATCTGTCTTTACACAAAGGGAAAAAACAGACCAACCTATCAAAAATAGTGCCATAAAAAACAAAACAGAAACACAAGTTA